GGGGCCGGGGCTCCCGGTCGCCTCCGGGGCGGGAAGGTCCTCGCTGCCGCCGCGCCCTCTTCTGACCCACCCTGCCAACGGCCCCGGGCCTCTGAAGGACCCCCGAGGGACGCTGACTGTGCCGAGAGCCGTTTGCTGAAGGGGCTTGATACCGAGGCAAAGCTGCTGGGAGAGAGCAGTTTTCACTCGGTTTGACATCCTCCCCCTCCCATCCGTTGCCTCCGTCGCCTCCGTCTTTGGAAGGTCTGGAGTTTGCTACCAATGCCCTTTTGAGAACAACCCAGCTGTCCTTCAGGCTGGCTGTCGCAGCCACAAAGCGGAAAGCAGATCATCTCGGGAGAGTACCAGCGCTTTTTGTGCTGAAGCATGAAAGGAAGGAAAAACCCCCACTCTCCTGCCCCACCTTCAATCCCTGGCACGTACTCTCCACCCCTTCATTTTGATAACACCTCCATTTCCCTCTCTCGTCACAGGGAACGGCTGTGAACTCAAGAGGTTAAATCAGACAACAGCTCGTAATAGCTTACTTGTGCAGGTCAAAAACTAGTATAGTCTTTTCCTAAGCCACATATTTACCGACCACTTGCTTTTTGCTACTGAGAAAGTACAGTCCTGCGAAGTTTCTTTTATTAAAAAAAAAAAATTAAAAAAAATCACTTTCACTAGGAGATGCTTCCAGACGCAAGCAGAACAAATGCACCCCCGTTTCCCACAGCAAAACATAATACATTTCTGGAAAGGGCACAAGACAGGAACCCCATGATGCTGCAGCTGGTCCTCTAGGGGACAGAACGGTTCAGAGACTGACCCAGCTTCCGAGTCTCTGCTTCCAGAACAGCAGCTTTGGGCTCCCTGGCCACAGCTGCTGAGGAGGAATCCAGCTCTTGGCAAATCTCTGACAGCTTCCGGCTGGTCTTTGCACAGCAGTCTTGTGCCAGCTGCGTCTGCAGAAGGGACACCTGAAAGAGGCAAAAGGCCGAGCTCAGACAGGCCCACGCTGTTAGGACCATCCGTAGCGTCACGGTACCGGCTGTCAGGGAAGATGCACCCTCTAACTCCAGCCCTGACAAACACTTTGTCCTTGTGGAACGGGAAGCGACAGGTTCCCAGAGTCACCCTGAACTGAACTTAAGATTATCAACAATTCAAGTTTCTTTCTGGCAATGGTAACTCACACCTACAACACTGACACATTACACATATATTAAAGACAGAGGTTCCCTACAGGATTTAGTAACCCAACTCTTTTTTCCAAAAAAGAGATTTGGGCTACTGACACCTTAGTTCCACATGCTTTTTCCTCAGCAGGAGGACTACTGGTTACACAAGGTAGCGAGGAACCATTCTGTTATGACCTAGTTTAAAAACTTGACAGCTAGCACGTGAAAAGGGAGCAAACCTTCATTTTTCCTAATGTTAGAGCATTTCACAAATGAGCAGAGCATAATTTGATGAACAAAGCCCGGGGCGGGAAATGAGCCTTAAAGGACTGCTGATGCCTTGAAAGTCCTCAAACTCTATTATTTCCTGGCAACGCAGGGTTGTGCCTGCTGGGCTTTTTGGCAGGAGAGACCCAGCTGCTCTCACCTCCTGTTAGGTTTGTAGTGCAGCACAGCCACAGCAGCTCTGGCGCATTCCCCTCTGCCTGCTTTGGAGTGGAGGAGATGCCAGCACTGGGAGCAGTGCTCAGTGCTTTGCTGCTTTGGGGAAAACGGCTCAGGTCAGAGGTTTTCCTCTGTTTTCAAAGTGACGTGTGCTTTGCCAACGGCTGTGTTCCACATGGGAATGCAATCCCCAACCTCAAGCTAGGAATATGAGAATATTCTTTCTTGGCGAGTGAACTCGAATAACAGAAGCAATTCCCAAAGGAGTTTTATGGCTTATGGAACCTGCTACATTTGAATTACGATACCAAGGTCTGTCAACATAAAGCCAAACGCGATAAAAAGTGGGACCCTAATCTGCTAAGCATCTAGAGCAGACTAGATGTGAAACTCAGGCAGCCAGCTCTGGAAGGGGAATGCGTGGTGCTGAATTAGAAGCCAGTTGTGCACACGGAAAATAGGACAGCAAAGGGACTTCACAGCAAACAATATGCGTAGGCTAGGGAACGCCACCACTGAAGAGAGGGACAGATCTGACCACCTCTCTGAAATAATAAGGGCACCTTTGTGAAGGCTGGCTTGGAAGCCTGAAAAATCCTCCCATGCTCTGGTAGGTAACCCAGAGGTATGAGTGGGAGAAGCGGCCATCTGCTGCTAAGAGCATCTCCCAGGAAGTGTGAGATCAAGTTCCAGTTCTGCTGTTTCCCAGACCCAGAGGAGTGCCCTAACTAGCCAGTTGAGGACTATTCTTTGAGCAGAGCACCTTCGTTTTCATGCTGAACTGCTGAAGTAGGTCCACGGTGCAGACAGACACAACAGTCACAAGGGGAAGGGGGTTCAGTTAGTTATCCGTAGCAACAGAACTTCAGACACTGAGACTTCCAGGTAAAAACATCCTTAACCTGATGGCTTCAGCAGCATTCTTGGCTCACTTGCCAGAACTAAGCATCACATACTTCACTCGCATAAATCTTACATGCATTTTGCCCTGAACACCGGTGAAGATTCACATCCTCAGGGAGACCAGGGTGTACCAGACCCATAAAAGTACATGGAAGAGAAGTCTGGTGACTGCTGCTACTGCTGATACCACTGTCAAAGGACGCAGTAGGGTTCAGTAGCTGGAACGTACATTCTGACACCGACAAAACAGATGTCCATGCAGCGCTTAGGTCTCTGACTCAGTCCGATATTGGGATCATGATTAGCACAGAACAGCAATACGAGACTAACGATTGCCTGAAGGCTATAAGCTCTGGCACTGCCTTACATCCCTGGAGGCGAGGCAAGAGGAGAGGCAAGAGGAGTAACAGTACCTCCATTTGCAGAAGCAATGGGTTTGAATGGGTGAATGACGTTGTTTGGCCACGGCCAACAGATGTGTTTGACTGGGCATTTCCACTGCCTGGTGTACTCACTTCCTGACAGCTAAACAATACTCGGGCTGTAGCATCGGGCAAAGTCGCACCCATCAGTACAGCCACAGCAGCTTTTGATGAGAGCTTTCCTACTCCTCACCTGGTTCCACAACTCAGCTAATCGACAACTGCAGCACCTGTGAGACTCCTCCTGTGAAGAAAACACAAGGATTTCTTTTTGGTCTCCAGTTTGGCCAGGGCCATGGTCTATACTTGACTTCTATTAGGTCTATACTGGGGGACTGCTGCCTCTGGGATTTGCTATCGTTCCTCTGTATGGCCAGACCCTCCTCCCACCAAGTAAGATTCTGTTCCCACCTGTCTAGGAGCAGGCATCTGGTGCTGGTCAGAGAGAGAAAATCTGCCTGCATCTCGCAACGACCGACCTTGACAATATCTCTTCAGTCTCCTCCGTTCACGTTCCACCTGCACATTGGATAGGAGAAAGGGTCACAGAAACCTGCCACCAAACAAGGAGCAGAAGGGCCTCTGGACATCATGGCAAGGAGGTTTCTGCTCAGACTGTTAATTGCACCAGAGTGTGTTGGGGGCAAAAGGCACTCGAAGTAGACTATGGAAGAGAAAGACCAAGAGGAAACAGTTTCTGACACAAGAGTGTCAAATGTGTGTGTATGGGGACACTGGGGCAAGAAGGGTGGTACCAGAGTGAATGTGCATTTGTGAAGGCAATGGGGTGCCAGAAGAGAGAGAAAATACAAAAGTGTGTGTCCACAGGGGGAATCGGGAGAGGGAAGGAAACAAGCAGAGGACTCCAAAGTGCTGTCTGTGGCAATGTGTTGTGTTCCAGAGGACCGTGAGGCTTTGCGGAGGCAGTGAAAGCCTGTTTTACCTGCTCAAGAGTCCTCTTGAGCTCAGCACTGAGTTGCTTCAGCTCAGTCTTCTCAAGCTCCAGCCTGGCAACTGCTTGCTGCAGACGTTCCAGCTGCTGCAACAGGAGTATCTTCTTTGAGAGCCATGATAGCTGCTCCCCTTCTGCAACAGCCTGCTGGGTATTCAGAGAGGAGATTATGTGCACTGGTGCCACATAAAGGTTAGAAGAGCCAGAATCAACAAGGCGGGGAGAGTGACCGGATGCCGGGATGCAATGCACAGTGGTAAGTCCCTTCTTCTCCTGGTCCACAGACCAAAACAACATGCCCTCTTCCTAGGGGCCCTCCTCCAGATCACTTTGGGGAAATCCAAGGCAAATTTGCCGTCATGTTTTTTTGGACTGTGGCACAAGTACATCCTGAATGTGCAATGAAGCCTTTAACCTGATGAGGCAATGGTACCAATTCCATTATTTTTAATACACTGGAAAAGCTGTACCTCAGAAATCTAAATCTCTGAAAGCACCTTCTAAGCACCATCAGTGTAGCTGCTGTTCAGCCATCATTCTGCTAAGTTTAGTATATTAGTCTGGTCAACTGTGCCCTTTCCTTTCCATGCCAAATCCTAACCACAACATGTTGGCTAAGCTTGCCTAGATAGGAGAGAACCGATTACCCATCCCCAACTTTTGGACTTTAGTTAATTTTAACAGCAAGCTCCATAGTTCTTTCAGTAGTTCTGGGCTTGGCAGAAAACATTCCAGCAGATGAATGGTCTCTGGCCAGAGCTACACAGACAGGCAAGCCTGCTGGCTGCAATCCTAGTTTCTTTGGCCAAGCAGGTCATATATTTATGGGAATATATATTCCCATATCTTTATGGGAAACATCATTAGAATCCTTTATAGACATTTTAGTTGACTGATGATCAATCACACTGCCTACCTGATGATGAAACTGGTCCGTGTCCTTCTCTGTAACCTTACTCTGCAGGATGGCTATTTCTTCCCTCAAAGTTCCATTGGCCTTTTCACTCTCGGTAAGGGCAAGAGTCAGTGCTTGTGCCTTCTCTTTCCATTTGGCTTCTTCACTTTCAGTCTGCTTCAAAATAGCAGTCACACGCTTCAATTCTTCCCCCTTTGCTTTCTGCTCATCTTCCAGTTGCTGGGTTAGCTTCTTCTGTCTTTGCAAGGCACGGTCTCTCTCCTGGAGAACTCTCCTCTTCTCTGCTTCCTCTTCCTCCCATTTCTGGAGTTTCTGGATTTGTTTCTGCAGGGTGTCCTCTCCATCTTTCCATCGCAAAGCTGATGTTAATTGTTTCAGTTCACTCTGCCTCCTAAGCTCTTGTTCTCTCCCTGTCAGAGTCTTCTCTAAATACCTGACTCTGTCTCTCTGGTACTTGATCTCTTCATCCTTCTTTGTCAGTCTGCTGAACATGCTGGAGATCTTCCTGAAGAGCTCTTATTTCCTCACCTTGAGCCTTAGTCTCTTGTTCCCTCTCATGCAAGGCATCTTCCAGGAGCTTCTCTTGCTCTCTGTGATGTCTAACCTCTTCATTCTGCTCGGTTAGCCTAAGCTGCAAATTCTGCAAGGTCTTCAGTTCTTCTTCTTGGTGCTGGAGTTTTTGCCGAAGAGTTTCCTTGTCTTCATCTCTCTTCCTCACCACTTCCTCAAGCAGATTCACCTGCTTCTGGCACGATGCCAGTGCTTCTTCCATGCTTTCGCCACGAAGCCGGAACATGTTAATTTGCTCTGTCTGCTTGAGGAACTCCAAGTGGTTCTCCTTCAATATTTGGCTCATTTTGTCTAGATCCTGCTCTAGACTCTTGGCCTGCTTGCCTTCTAACTCCTTCTGCTCTCGAAGGTCCTGGACATGCTCTTGCAAAGACACTATCTCTTGATCTCTAGCTTTTAGAGAAGATTCAGCATATTCTAGTTTTTGCAGTATACCTTTAGTCTGCATTGCTGCCTCCTCCTTTTGCTGTTGAAGCTTAGAGATAGCCTCCTCCAGAACCTCTATCTTGTTTTCTCTTTCTTTCACAGTCAGTTTTATTGCTTGAAGATTTGTTTGCTCAGCTTCATGCTTTTCCTCCTTTTCCTTGCATGCCTCATGTTCCTTTCTAAGGGATAAAATTTCTTCCTCTTTTTCCTTTAGTGCCACTTGAAGGTGCTGCAGAATTTCCTTCTGCCATTCAGAGTCTTGTTGTTGTTTTTGGAAGGTCTCAATCAGTTCCTTCTGAGAGTCAATCATTAAATCCTTTTCTTTCAGTATTGCCGTAGTGTATTCTAAGTCTCTGTGTAAGACATTCATCTGTTCTGTTTTTTCCTCACAGCTCCTTGCTTGTTCCTTTTGGATGTCTATGAGTCTGTCCTTTTCTTTTAAGGTCTGCTCCAGCTGGTCACGGATAGTCCTTAACTGCATTTCCATGACTCCTTCAGCTTCCTGGATTTGCTTTTGTTGTGACTCAAGCTCTTGATCTTTTTTAGATAAAGAAAGCATCATCTTTTCTACTTTACCACGAAGCTCTTGCAGGTACCCCTCTTGCTCTTCCTTGTACTGCTGCAAGAGTCTTAACTGACCCCTTTGAGAATCACACTCACTCTCTCTGTCCTTAAGAACTGCCCTCAGGTGTTCAAGGCTTGCATGCAGAGGTTTCACCTGTGCTCTCTCCATTTCCAGTTCTTGGATCTGCCGAGTCAGAGACATAAGCTCTATGTTTTTCTCCTTCAAGTTTCCTTTCATATGATCAAGATCCGCCTGCAGGTTTCTCACTTGTGATGCACCCTGTTCTAGAATCATTATTTTCCCCTCCTGGAACTTGATCGCCTGGTCTCTCTCCTCCAGCTCTTTGCTCATCTTGCTGACAGCAGTCCTCTGCATTTCTTGCTGCTTCTCCAGGTCCCATATCTGTTCTTGCTGGGATCTGATCTCCCGATCTCTCTCTTCCAAGTCTTTGCTCATTTTGCTTACAGCAATCCTTTGTTTCTCTTGCTGTTTCTCCAGGTCTCGTATCTGTTCTTGCTGGGATTCCATCTTCTGTTTTTTCTCTGTTATGTCCTTAATAACCTGATCGAGAGTAGTTTTATGCATTTCTTTCTGCTTTTCCAGCATTCTCATCTGCTCCTGGTACAACTTCATTTCTCCCTCCCTCTCTGACAGGATGAAAGTCATATGAGTGATAGTCTCCTGCAAAGCTTTTCCCTGTGCTGCCTCTTTCTGGAGCATCTGGATTTTCTCCCACTGCGTTTCCACTTCCTCATTTTTAATTTTTAAAAGAGACAGTGTAGTTTGGAGTTCTTGTTCAAGGGAGTGATTCATATCTGTTGCTGTATTTGCTCGGGTTTCAGAGGCTGTGACTGATTCCTGAAGGTTTATCTCCCACACCGGTTTTTCTTTAACTGCTTGCAGTCTCTCCCATTCATGCTGCAAAACAGTGAGAAAAAGATTCAATAGTTCCGTCGATATATGTTTGCTTTTCATACTAGATTTGAACTCCTGCTTCAGCGGCAGTCAAGGGCTGCCCCCTCTCTCCCTGCCTCTCAGGATGTTGTAAGCCTTTCCTGTGCCACCCTTTAGGCTGCATCTTTCCCAGCTTACTCAGCCAGTCCCATCTTCCTTTTGGCCCTTCTCTGAACCTCTTCTGGCTCTAGTGTGTTCTTTTGGGGAGGAGCCACCAGAACTGCAATCAGGATTTAAAGTCCAGACTAAGCATGATTTAGGCAGTGGCATGATGATATTCTCTCTATTAGGGAGGAAGGGAAGAGAGAACAACCCCAACATTTGATTTCCCACTTTGGGGTTTGGTTGGGGTTTTTTTTGGACCTCTACCGTGTAGAGTTTTCATGGTACCATCCTCTAGAACCCCACTGTCCCCTCTTGAAGGAGTAATGGTCAGACCACAGTCTGTCATTCTGTGGTTGAAATAAGGACTAGTTTTCCCCTTGCAGGCATACATATTTATCTGGATCAGCACTTTTGTTTCTCAAATGTCTCTATTTTTTTCCCCACTGTCTGCTCTCAGATGGGCAATGTTGAGCAGCTTTCTATTATTAGCAAACTTTGTCTTCTCACCCCTTTTTCCAGATCCAGACATTTAGAAATCTAAATACGGATTTGAACAAAAATAATTGCCCAAACCATGCAATGTAAATAGAGACAAGTTTGAAAATTACTTTGACTAAAGCTTCAAGGGCAGAAACCTTCAGAACTGAGGAAAACAAACACCCTGAATCATAACTGAGTTTTATATGACTACAGCATCTTTTCCTGCTTATTCAGAAGAATGCAACTGGAAAAGTGAAAAGTGGCAGGAAAGCAAAAGTCTGGGAAACAAGGAACGATGAGTGGAAGGAAGGGGAAAATGAGGGAAGCTTGGTCAGCATTTGTGTACTCTGTATCTTCTCAGATTTGGACTGAACCTGTACAAGACCAACCAAAATCAGCTCTCCACTGGAAAAAGTTGCTCCTTAGAAGTATTAACAGAAGGCCAAAAAATATGTAAGAAATGGCCCTCTGTGGCATCTGCCAGCCTCACCAGGACATCCTTTCTTTGCTTCTCAGTGCTCTCGAGTTTCCTTTCCAAAGACACCACCTCTTGATGCAGCATCATAGCCTCCGTCTTTAGAGACTCTTCGGAGGCTACTAGCTGAGACGTCAACTCTTCCACCTCAAGTAAAACATAACAAAGCAGTCAAAGACTACAGCTTGTCACTGTCAGCTGTATCATGTACTGTGAGGAAAGGGAAAGAACAACTTTACATTTCACCCTGTCACAAGAGTACCAGATTCAGAATGGATACACCTGACTTGTTTAAAAATCTAAGTGGGTCATCATGTTCAGCTGAAAAAAACACCTTAGAAAGCAAGACCAGCAGAAATCCATTCTGATGATTACTGGCAAACAGGCAAAAGGACTAGCCCACCTGTCCAGGGCAGCAGCTGAGATTCAGCTGGCCAGTAAGTCTCCTTCAGACCAGCTGAGATGGAGACCACAGTATGATGGCAGTCAGAGGGATTATCCCATCAGCCTGCTGCTCTTCACCACTTCCTCAAGCAGATTCACCTGCTTCTGGCACGATGCCAGTGCTTCTTCCATGCTTTCGCCACGAAGCCGGAACATGTTAATTTGTCTCGAAGGTCCTGGACATGCTCTTGCAAAGACACTATCTCTTGATCTCTAGCTTTTAGAGAAGATTCAGCATATTCTAGTTTTTGCAGTATACCTTTAGTCTGCATTGCTGCCTCCTCCTTTTGCTGTTGAAGCTTAGAGATAGCCTCCTCCAGAACCTCTATCTTGTTTTCTCTTTCTTTCACAGTCAGTTTTATTGCTTGAAGATTTGTTTGCTCAGCTTCATGCTTTTCCTCCTTTTCCTTGCATGCCTCATGTTCCTTTCTAAGGGATAAAATTTCTTCCTCTTTTTCCTTTAGTGCCACTTGAAGGTGCTGCAGAATTTCCTTCTGCCATTCAGAGTCTTGTTGTTGTTTTTGGAAGGTCTCAATCAGTTCCTTCTGAGAGTCAATCATTAAATCCTTTTCTTTCAGTATTGCCGTAGTGTATTCTAAGTCTCTGTGTAAGACATTCATCTGTTCTGTTTTTTCCTCACAGCTCCTTGCTTGTTCCTTTTGGATGTCTATGAGTCTGTCCTTTTCTTTTAAGGTCTGCTCCAGCTGGTCACGGATAGTCCTTAACTGCATTTCCATGACTCCTTCAGCTTCCTGGATTTGCTTTTGTTGTGACTCAAGCTCTTGATCTTTTTTAGATAAAGAAAGCATCATCTTTTCTACTTTACCACGAAGCTCTTGCAGGTACCCCTCTTGCTCTTCCTTGTACTGCTGCAAGAGTCTTAACTGACCCCTTTGAGAATCACACTCACTCTCTCTGTCCTTAAGAACTGCCCTCAGGTGTTCAAGGCTTGCATGCAGAGGTTTCACCTGTGCTCTCTCCATTTCCAGTTCTTGGATCTGCCGAGTCAGAGACATAAGCTCTATGTTTTTCTCCTTCAAGTTTCCTTTCATATGATCAAGATCCGCCTGCAGGTTTCTCACTTGTGATGCACCCTGTTCTAGAATCATTATTTTCCCCTCCTGGAACTTGATCGCCTGGTCTCTCTCCTCCAGCTCTTTGCTCATCTTGCTGACAGCAGTCCTCTGCATTTCTTGCTGCTTCTCCAGGTCCCATATCTGTTCTTGCTGGGATCTGATCTCCCGATCTCTCTCTTCCAAGTCTTTGCTCATTTTGCTTACAGCAATCCTTTGTTTCTCTTGCTGTTTCTCCAGGTCTCGTATCTGTTCTTGCTGGGATTCCATCTTCTGTTTTTTCTCTGTTATGTCCTTAATAACCTGATCGAGAGTAGTTTTATGCATTTCTTTCTGCTTTTCCAGCATTCTCATCTGCTCCTGGTACAACTTCATTTCTCCCTCCCTCTCTGACAGGATGAAAGTCATATGAGTGATAGTCTCCTGCAAAGCTTTTCCCTGTGCTGCCTCTTTCTGGAGCATCTGGATTTTCTCCCACTGCGTTTCCACTTCCTCATTTTTAATTTTTAAAAGAGACAGTGTAGTTTGGAGTTCTTGTTCAAGGGAGTGATTCATATCTGTTGCTGTATTTGCTCGGGTTTCAGAGGCTGTGACTGATTCCTGAAGGTTTATCTCCCACACCGGTTTTTCTTTAACTGCTTGCAGTCTCTCCCATTCATGCTGCAAAACAGTGAGAAAAAGATTCAATAGTTCCGTCGATATATGTTTGCTTTTCATACTAGATTTGAACTCCTGCTTCAGCGGCAGTCAAGGGCTGCCCCCTCTCTCCCTGCCTCTCAGGATGTTGTAAGCCTTTCCTGTGCCACCCTTTAGGCTGCATCTTTCCCAGCTTACTCAGCCAGTCCCATCTTCCTTTTGGCCCTTCTCTGAACCTCTTCTGGCTCTAGTGTGTTCTTTTGGGGAGGAGCCACCAGAACTGCAATCAGGATTTAAAGTCCAGACTAAGCATGATTTAGGCAGTGGCATGATGATATTCTCTCTATTAGGGAGGAAGGGAAGAGAGAACAACCCCAACATTTGATTTCCCACTTTGGGGTTTGGTTGGGGTTTTTTTTGGACCTCTACCGTGTAGAGTTTTCATGGTACCATCCTCTAGAACCCCACTGTCCCCTCTTGAAGGAGTAATGGTCAGACCACAGTCTGTCATTCTGTGGTTGAAATAAGGACTAGTTTTCCCCTTGCAGGCATACATATTTATCTGGATCAGCACTTTTGTTTCTCAAATGTCTCTATTTTTTTCCCCACTGTCTGCTCTCAGATGGGCAATGTTGAGCAGCTTTCTATTATTAGCAAACTTTGTCTTCTCACCCCTTTTTCCAGATCCAGACATTTAGAAATCTAAATACGGATTTGAACAAAAATAATTGCCCAAACCATGCAATGTAAATAGAGACAAGTTTGAAAATTACTTTGACTAAAGCTTCAAGGGCAGAAACCTTCAGAACTGAGGAAAACAAACACCCTGAATCATAACTGAGTTTTATATGACTACAGCATCTTTTCCTGCTTATTCAGAAGAATGCAACTGGAAAAGTGAAAAGTGGCAGGAAAGCAAAAGTCTGGGAAACAAGGAACGATGAGTGGAAGGAAGGGGAAAATGAGGGAAGCTTGGTCAGCATTTGTGTACTCTGTATCTTCTCAGATTTGGACTGAACCTGTACAAGACCAACCAAAATCAGCTCTCCACTGGAAAAAGTTGCTCCTTAGAAGTATTAACAGAAGGCCAAAAAATATGTAAGAAATGGCCCTCTGTGGCATCTGCCAGCCTCACCAGGACATCCTTTCTTTGCTTCTCAGTGCTCTCGAGTTTCCTTTCCAAAGACACCACCTCTTGATGCAGCATCATAGCCTCCGTCTTTAGAGACTCTTCGGAGGCTACTAGCTGAGACGTCAACTCTTCCACCTCAAGTAAAACATAACAAAGCAGTCAAAGACTACAGCTTGTCACTGTCAGCTGTATCATGTACTGTGAGGAAAGGGAAAGAACAACTTTACATTTCACCCTGTCACAAGAGTACCAGATTCAGAATGGATACACCTGACTTGTTTAAAAATCTAAGTGGGTCATCATGTTCAGCTGAAAAAACACCTTAGAAAGCAAGACCAGCAGAAATCCATTCTGATGATTACTGGCAAACAGGCAAAAGGACTAGCCCACCTGTCCAGGGCAGCAGCTGAGATTCAGCTGGCCAGTAAGTCTCCTTCAGACCAGCTGAGATGGAGACCACAGTATGATGGCAGTCAGAGGGATTATCCCATCAGCCTGCTGCTCTGCAATGGAAAGGCAAGGGGAGAGACCACCTGTTTGATGACTGGAGTAGCTATTGCTGTTTCAGTCACCTGTTTTTGTAGACCATCCCTCTGCTGAAGAAGGATATTCATTTCCTCTTTGATGGTTTGGATTTCCTCCCTCTGCCTCTTCTCCGCTGCTTTGATCTTACTCTGAGTTTCCTGCAGCTCTGCTTGCAGTTTTTCTGTGATGTTCTGTAAACACAAATGGAGAGCAAGCTACTGAGACCTGCCATCAGGTCCAGCTTTTTTCTCTTTCTGTCTCAAAATCACATTCATTCAGCCACTTCTTTCTGCTTTTCTACCCAGCTCTGCTGCTGTTGTAACCCTTCCTTCCTGTTGCTGATCTCTGGAGCTTACCAGGCTCTGTGCTTTCAGTGCCTGCAGTAGTCCTTGCCTCCTCAGCTGCAGGACTTATGTTTTATTTCCTTGTTACTGCCCTTCACTCTGTTACCCGGCTCTCTCGGCCTCTCTCTCGGCTTACGTCCAATTGCCAACAGCCCGTTCCTTCAACCTACCCTACAAGTCAGATTATCTGCCCATTCTCTCACTGCTCTTCCACCTCCTGCCTGAGCTGCTCCAGCTGCTGGCAGGCTTCTGTTAGTTCTCCCTGAGTTTGGAGCAGTGTCTCTAATAAAGCATTCTTCTCACGCTCCTTTTCCAGCAGGACCTGCACAGAAATAAAGAGAAGACGGGTTTAAACTTCCCATAAAAAATTTGTGTGGTAAGACTCAAAGATGGATGGGCTCACACGTTCTCAAAGCACTATGCTGCTGGCCTCCTAGGTCATTATCTGCCCACTTGGAGGCACAGATTCCTAAGTGAGATTGGCAGTATAAACATGGTCCATCCGTGATTGAATCTTCAACAAACTCTTAGTCATCTAAGGATCGATAAGGAGCCCAGAAGAGTAAAAAAACCACACAAATTCTCCTTTCACAATCTTTACCTCTCGCTTGGCATTTTCGACTCTAGTTCGTTCCTCTTCTTGTTGAGCTTGCATGGTAGCAACTTTCTGCTTCATATCAAACAGCTTCTTCTCGTGCTCCCTTTCTGTCTCTGCCTTCTCCTTTTCCCATTGCTCCAGCATCTCCTGTAGCTCTGAACGGTGCCATTCCCGCTCGCTTGCCTGATGAGAGGAGAAAAAGACTTCAAGATGGAGTCCCAGCCAAGCTCCTCCAAAAAAGGTGAAGCTTCTTCCCTCCCACAAACCCCCACCTCAACAGGGCACAGTAGTGGCTTTGTGCCCTCCATAAATCATGTCCTATCAAGGAACTTAAAAGGAGGGTCAGCAGGTGGAAGAAAAGGAGATGTTACCTTCCCTTCTCTGATGGCTGCCTGTTTGCTAGCACCTCTCACCTCAGCATTTCTCTCTAGTCTCAGAGTCTCTATTTTCAAAGCTCAACTCCATTCTCATCAATGAAAAGATGCAGGTGGACTGCAGGGTGAGAAGGAGGCCAATACCCCGATGCCCTAGTCACAAGGCAGGCCATGAACTGAACTACCAGGAACAAGGGGCCTGTTCTATATGCTTTAAGCCCAAAGATAATACCTCTGTCAAGCATGAAAGGACAGAAAGAAAGGAACAAAGTTCCTGTGACTGCAGTTGGCAGGAATGGTGGTTTTGGTATGTCTTTGGAAGCTGCACTCACGATTATTAAGAACGTGCAGTTAGGTTGTCTAGTTTGTGTACATGCCTGTTTAAGGGCAGTGCAAATTGCACTACCTTTGCAGTACCACAAAGGTTGTATCTTGGCAAACGGTATCTTTTCCGGGATTATTTGGTGTCCAGAGGGGAGCTGCGTAAATTATTTCACTGTTGCGTGAGCTGTCTTGGAATAAAACCTGGCTATGGCCTTGCCTTCTCACTTCTGCTGCAGGCTTTGCATCCTTACAGGAGCAAAGACCAGACATCTATCGCTCACACAAACAACAGGTGTCATTTGGTGTTTCTCTTTCCTCCTACCTGCAAGTTCTTGTAAGAATGGATCCGTGGTAGTGCATGGGTTCTGGACTACCCTTTGCTATTATTGTCTCTGTAGTAACTTGGTTTGTCCCATCTGTCAAGCCGCATCCTTCCCCAGAGCTGTTTCCATCTTGAGGGATTCATGATTCCAGCCTTCAGCTTTTTCTTTGGTCCGGCAAAACGTGGAACCAAGAAAGAAAACTGTTGTTTCTGGTGACCAAGATGTTACCCAGAGGTCAAAAAGTAGTGAAGAAAGTTTGCCATTAAGCCTCCCTCCAGTGTTGACAGTCTTGCCCTTCAGGGAAGAGGAAAGGAGGAATAGAAACAGCCAGATGCTTTGTTCACACAGGGAAGTTCCAAACTGCTCAGAACTGTGGGACACTGATGTCATTTTTGTAGCAAATTTCTTTGCCAAGGAGTGATTTGGCTGTTTAAATGGACAGGCAAAGCTGTCTTTAGACTCAAGCTCTGCATTAAATCAGCTTTCATCCTCATGCCAAAATCTCAAAAAGTACATCAAGAAGCTCAAGCTGCTCCAGGAGCATTAAGCCTCCTTTCAAAGTCCAGTCCCTGATGTTTGCTTTATTGCTTTGTGGAAGAAAACTCCACCAAGGATTCAAGTCCTGAGCTGGAGCATCTCTTTATAGCGATAAAGATGGTAAGATGGTGCTTGTGCTTTTGCAGGTGTTGCAACACTTGTGACGATGTCAGAGAAGCATACAGGCGGCGAGGCTGGGCCTTCAAGAACCCGGATACCATAGAGCAGTGCAAGAGGGAAGGGTTTAGCCAGAAAATGCAAGAGCAGAAGAACGAGGGCTGCCAAGTGTATGGTTTCCTGGAGGTCAACAAGGTGAGAGATGGGCTTTGCTGTGAACCTGCTGCCTGATGGTGATGACTGTGAAAAGGCAGAATCGGGGCGTTCCTCTCCTTTTCCAGCTTTAGGTGTTCACAGGACTGTCATATAATAACTCCTGGGCTCAGCAAGGTGCTTGTGCCCGTAAAGGGGTTCAGTAGGAGAGTCAGGCGAAGTGTAATTACCCCTTTAAGTGTAATTACCCCTCCTGCTGGGTTTGGGCTGGTTTAGGGAAGGCAGTCTATGTAGCTGGCTTGACAGTTCTTGGGGGATTTTTCCCCTCATCTCTCCATAGGTGGTTTGCACTCTGAAAGAGTTCAGTGAGTACAGGCAGTATCTGACCACGCTCAAGCTGGAGGTGGAGAAAATGTCCATGCGAGAGGAGGTGTGGAAAACAGAGTGTTTGTGGACACCTGTCAGCGGCATGGTGCTGAGGGCTGGGGCTTTACTTGTGGCATCTCGGGGAGGGGGGGTGGTCATTGCAGAAGAGGTGAGGGCTGTGCTACTGGGCCGGGCGTTGTGGCGGGGAAGGGACTACCAGGCTGCGAGCTGAGCTAGTGCAGGGTGCAGGGGTGTGCATGGGCAGGAAAGTCACATGCAAGCACGCAGAGTCCTGAGGGAAGCATTTCTCTTCTGCCCTCGTCGCGTGGCTGACGCTGAGCGCTGTCCTGGGCCCGCAGGCCGCCTCAGCACGCAGGGGTGTGAGCGCTTGTCCAGGCAACAGCAAGCCACAACCTGGTGTCACCTTTCAGAAAAAGGTTCAGCTCAACCTGGCCCCATTAGAGGATGCCTCCAGACTGCCGGAAGGGATTGATGCTTCTCGCCTGCAAGAGTGGCTGCTTCAGGAGCAAAGAAAGAGTTTGCCGGGTGGAGAGAGGAAGAGGAAGCAGAGGTAAGAAAAGGCCAAGTAATGCTTGCTCTTGAAGGGGGCCTGTGGTCCCCGAGAGAAGTCCTGGAGCCTCGTGTTGCAGTAAACAAAGACCAGCAGTGGAAGGAGCTGGTGCTGGCTGTGAACACATTGGTGCAGTCTGTGTTTGGAGCCTTGGACAGGCAGCTGGAAGCTGCTGTGGGGACTACTGGAGCAAAGCAACCCGGAGCAGGATGATGGGAGTGATTGAGCGGAAAATGGCCTGGGCAAGATGAACAGAGCGGCTCCTTCTTAGCTACCTTCCTTTCTCTTGACAGGCATCTCACTGTGATCAAGAAGCAGACTGAAAGACTGGAGGCTTTTGAAAAAGTGCAACGCCTCCTCCTCCAGCAGGCCAAGTGCCAACAGCAGCAGCGGCTGGGCAAGAGGAGACAGCCAGGCACCCAGAGCAGCTCTGAACAGTCTGCTCTCGAAGGGAGGCCAGTGAGTAGGAGCTGGGTGGATGCTGGGGGCCACCTCTGCTGTGCAGCAGCTCGTTGGTACCCAGGCCTTGGGAGAGGGTGCTGCCACACAGCTTGCAAGCGGTGCTTGGTTGCTGAGGAGATGGTGTCTGGCTGGTGTGTGACGTGTCCTCGTATGAGGGTGGCTGTCAGAGACTGAGACGCAGGTGCTTTCCTTCCTGTGTCTCTCGCACAAAAGGCACTACCCCTTTCTGTCACAAAAGTGTGCCTGGGCACTCTCAGTGACCATTTCTGCATGGACTCGCACATTTAGCACGAGCCTGTGAGCTGCACCAAATGGCCGCACAGTCCATGGTGCTGGTTTCACGTCTGATTGAAAAACTCTGCTTTTCATCCAAAGATGCAGCGTCCCTGAACCTGACAGTGTCCCCATACCCCAGCCTTCACTGCCTGTGGCATCCTTCTTTCCTGTAAGGGTTGCTTTCTCTGTTCAGTGCTTTCCACGCTCTAAGCTTAAGGCAGATGAGGAAACTTCCTGCTGCTCTTCTGGCCACTTTATGCCTTCTGGTGGTTTGCCTGTCCCCTTTCCCAGGTGAATGTAGGAAGGGTGGTGGGCAGGGCCCGGGATATCTGAGCTGTAATCTCTCCTCAGGGAGCTCCTTCCACTCCTGGGCTTCTCTGGTGTCAGTGCTCTGCTGTTCCTTCAGTTGGCTGCAGCTTTTGAGCTGTCTAAGCTATTTGGGTAGGTGTGTTTTGATATTGAGAGACGTGGAGGTGTTGGAGGTAAGGGCTTCAGGACCAGTCAAGGTTCAGCAGCGTATATTGTAGAAAGTACACTTGTATGCAATTTTGTTTTTTTTTTCAGGTCAGTAGTTTTGTATTGGGTGTTCAGGGGTGGCAAGATGGTTTAATAGTGTGGTTTTGGTTTTGTTTTTTTCCTAAGTGCTTTGTATTTTCCTGGACTTCCTGACTTTATTGAAGATGGAACCTTGGTTTTTTTCACCAGTTTTGCTGCATACTGTGCAAGTTGTTGATACCATTTCTTAACAGGACTGATGGTGAGATAATCTAACAGGGGTTAAGATGCATACATCTTGTATGCATCTGTATACGGGGTTTCAGCATTTTTCAAGAAAGCAGCAGGGACATAAGGCATAGTGTCTTTCAGGGTATGGAACAGCTCATCACCTTTCCTTATCACCGACAGAGTACCATGTTCTCCCTAGAGCCTTTGCAGCTTGCAGCAGGCCCCTCAGAGATTATAAGCATCAGGACTTCACTTATTTTGTGGGTCTGTAGCAGAGCCCGGAGTCTGTGGGAAGATGGAAGATAGGAGGTGCTTGCACAACACAGGGCACAGCTTGGAAGAGCAGCTCCCAAGGAGCAGCTGACACGGGGAGTTCAGTGGTGCCAATACAGGGCAGGAGCTGTCAGGAAGGAGTGGGCTTCCTTCCCTGAAAGTTCAGGAGAAGAGAAAGGGTTTCTAAAGTTTTGGGACCAGGGGATGGTTGGGAAGGGGAGGTGGGTTCATCAACCTTTCTCAGATGGGTTTTGCAGTTGGATTTGGGTTTCGCTGAGGTCTGTTCTGTTTTAGTCTCTCCATAGGTGACGGGAGGTACGACAAAGTCATGAGAGACGCAGTGTGAACTGTTCGGGCTTCTGCATCACAGCGTGCAGGGTCAAATGTCAGACAAGTCCCATCTCGGAAAGCATTAGGTACATTGAGGTATACACTAAAATATACCCCCAGAACTCTGAGGTCTCTGCTCCTCTGTGCCTTTTACTTCATTCCCTGACTTAATCTTTGCATCCATCCCTTCACCATCTGTCCATATATCACTATCATTGCTACTTAGAGGCATTGACTAGGCACTTATTTCCAGTGCAGGCTTCTGTCATTGTGTTTCTTCGGATTTCTTGGAGAAGAGGATGCATGTTATTTGTGCTCGTAATGGTCTCCAGCTAGGGGTCTTTTCTTCATCATAGTCTCTGGGCACACAGGCCTTTTCTATTATCACAGTTTTGTCTTTCCTTAACTGTCCAATGAGGTTTGCTCTAGTATCACTCATGGCAGTTATGTTCTCTTGTCCTTGTTTACCTATTGTGTTTTTTAACATCAGTTTCTGTAGTCATAAGGTGTCTGTTTGAGATCTTTGAGTCACCACATCTTGCCACCGTGGGTTTTTCCATCAGCCAACAGTCTCCCTAATTTTGTAAGGGGCTTCATAGGTAATCAGGCTCAGGTGTCTCACACTGTTTTCATGAAGGGCCTCTTGTCCTTGTGGCTTCATCCGCTGGGTGGTATCGGTTGCTGCCTGGTACAGTGTCCTGTCTTTTTGAACGTTCTGGGTTTTTTCATCTTTTCTTGTTTTTGTTTGAAATTTTTTGAGCGGGGTTTTTTTGTTTATTCTTGCAGGTAAAGTCGGGTCTTCCTTTGACCTCCCAGTCCACACGGCTTTCGTTCCTCTTTTTTGCCAGGTATCCTCACCACTGCATTTCCATGATGGGAGTGGTGGAGAGGGGAGCAGAGCACTCGGAGTTCTGGAGCATCCAGGGAGGTAGTGTTGGGCTTCCTCTCATCTTTGTGGGGCCGACCCTGAGGAAGTCCAGTATTTGAGTATAGATTATGTGGGTACACTAATCCCTTTCAGAGTGTGTCAGAGGGTAAGGTTTTTGTTCTGTTTTGTGTGGGAGAAGACAGCTCTCTGACTGTTTTGGGGATGAGGTGGGGTACACCTATGCTTTCAGGTCATATCTGATTTGCCA